TGGGAGAAAATATTTGCAAATGATATGACCAGTAAGGGGTTAATATCCAAAATTTATAAACAGCTCATACAACTCAACAGCAAAAAACCCCAAACAACCCAATCAAAAAATGGGCAGAAGACCTAAAGAGAAAATTTTCCAAAGAAGACTTACATGTGGCCAATAGGCACATGAAGAAATGTTCAACACAGTTAATCATCAGAGAATGTAAATTAAAACCACAATGAGATATCACCTCACACCTGTCTGAATGGCCATCATCAAAAAGAACACAAATAGGGCTTCCCTGGTGGCGCAGTGGTTTAGAGTCTGCCTGCCGATGCAAGAGACGCGGGTTCGTGCCCCAGTCTGGGAAGATCCCACATGCCGTGGAGCGGCTGGGCCCATAAGCCATGGCCACTGAGCCTACACGTCCGGAGCCTGTGCTCCGCAGTGGGAGAGGCCACAACAGTGAGAGGCCCGCGTACTGCAAAAAAAAAAAAAAAAAAAAAAAGAACACAAATAATAAATGTTGGCAAGGATGTGGAGAAAAGGGAACCCTCGTACATTTTTGGTGGGAATGTATATGTACATATTTTTGGTGCAGGCACTGTAGAAAACATTATGAAGGTTTCTCAAAAAACTAAAAATAGAACTACCATATGACCCAGGAATTCCACTCCTGCATATATATCTGAAAAAAAATTAATTCAAAAAGATACATACACCCCAATGTTCATAGCAGCATTGTTTACAATTGCCAAGAATGGAAGCAAACTAAGTGTCCATCAACAGATGAATGGATAAAGAAGATGTGAGATACACACACACACACATACATACACAAACACACAATGGAATACTACTTATCCATAAAACAGAATAAAATTTTGCCACTTGCAAAAACACGGATGGACTTGGAGGATGTTAGACTAAGTGAAATAAGTCACACAGAGAAAGACAAATACTGTTTGATATCACTTATATGTGCAATCTAAAAAATAAAACAACAAAATTTGATGGTCAATTACACTGAGGCCCAATCTCATTATATTTGGGAACAATTAAATTAAAACAGTAATAATATTTCACTCTTATTACACTGCAAAAGTTAAGAGACCAAAAAATTCAAAAAGTTCACAGGGATGTGGAAAACCAGGAGCTCTCACGCACTGCCAGTGGGAATATTGATTACCCAATCACATAAGTGGTATAGGAAAGCATATACAGCCATGCCTAAGATCAAGTATTTCCACTTTTAGGCATATACCCAAGAAAAGCTCTCCATAGGTTCACCAAAAAACACATGAAAGACAGTCACTGATGTATTGTTTTTACTGGCATAAAGACTGAAACAATGTACATGTCTATTAATAGAAAATAGGAGAAGAGATAAACATCCATTGTATTTATAAAATTCCATTCCATTCGTACAATTAAATGTCATACAGGAAGTATAAATATGTATAAAAATTATGCTGAGCAAAAACAAGCAAGTTGCAAAAGAGTTTGTAGTATAAATATAACTTATATAGAATTTAAAAGCATGAAAAACAAATTTTATTTATAGATACAGATAAATACCTATGGACCAATAAATATTCATAAAAATAGTACCTATCAATATATGTTGGAGTCAGGGAGGAGGAGAAGACAAGATGGCTGAGTAGAACAATCTGAGCTCACCCCTTCTTATGGAAACACCAAAATCACAATTAACTGCTGAACAACCACTGACAAAAAAATGCTGGAACCTATCAAAAAAGATACCTTACACCCAAAGACAAAGAAGAAGGCACAAGGAGACAGTAGGAGGGGAGCAATCATGATAAAATCAAATCCCATACACACCAGGTGGGCTACCCACAAATAGGAAAATAATTATACCACTGAAGTTCTCCCACAGGAGTGAAAGTTCTGAGCCCCACATCTAGCTCCCCAGCCTAGCGGTCTGGCAATGGGAGGAGGATCCCCCAGAGAATCTGGCTTTGAATGCCAGCAGGGTTTGATCATAGAAATGCCACAGGACTGGGGGAAACAGAAACTCTACTCTTGGAGGGTGCACACAGGGCCTCAAGCACACTAGGACCCAGGGGAAGAAAGCAGTGACTTCATAAGAGACTGGGCCAGACTTACCTGCTAGTATTGGAGGGTCTCCTGCAGAGGTGGGGGGCAGCTGTGGCTCACTGCAGTGATAAGGATGCTGGCGGCAGCAGTTTTGGGGAGTACTCATTGGCACGAGCCCTTCTGGAGGCCACAATTTTCTCACCAAGACCAGGACCCACCCAACAGCCTGGAACCTCCAGTTCTGGGATGCCTCAGACCAAACAACCAACAGGAGGGGAACACAGCTCCACCCATCAGCAGACAGGATGTTTAAAGTTTTCCTGGGTAAACAGCTGCCCAATAAACACAGCCCCTGACACAGCTCTGCCCACCAGAGGGACAAGACCCAGCTCCACCCACCAGTGGGCAGCTACCAGTCTCTCCCATCAGGAAGCCTACACAAGCTTCTTAGACAGCCTCATCCACCAGGGGGCAGGCAGCAGAAGCAAGAACTACAAACCTGCAGCCTGAAGAATGGAAACCGCAATCACAGAAAGTTACACAAAATGAGACGGCAGAGGATTATGTCTCAGATGAAGGAACAACATAAAACCCCAGAGAAAACAACTGAATGAAGTGGAGATAAGCAACCTTCTGGAAAAAAAGTCCAGAATAATGATAATGAAGACGATCCAGGATCTTGGAAAAAGGATGGAGGCAAAGATCGAGAAGATACAAGAAATGTTTAACAAAGACCTAGAAGAACTAAAGAACAAACAAACAGAGATGAACAATACAATAAATGACATGAAAAATACACTAGAAGGAATCAATAGCAGAATAACTGAGATGGAAGAGCAGATAAGTGAACTGGAAGACAGAATGGTGGAAATCACAGCTGCAGAACAGAATAAAGAAAAAAAGAGTGAAAAGAAAAGAGGACTTCCCTAACATGGGAAAGGAAAGCGTCACCCAAGTCCAGGAAGCACAGAGAGTCCCAAGGAGGAAAATGCTGATACACATAATAATCAAACTGACAAAAATTAAAGACAAAGAAAAAATATTAAAAGCAACAAGGGAAAAGCAACAAATAACTTACAAGGAAACTCCCATAAGGTTATCAGCTGATTTCTCAGCAGAAACTCTGCAGGCCAGAAGGGAGTAGAATGATATATTTAAAGTGATGAAGGGAAGAACCTACAACCAAGAATACTCTACCCAGCAAGGCTCTCATTCAGATTCAGTGGAGAAATCAAAAACTTTACAGATAAGCAAAAGCTAAGAGAATTCAGCACCACCAGATCAGCTTTGCAACAAATGCTAAAGGAATTTCTCTAAGTGGAAAAGAAAAGGCTGCAACTAGGAACAAGAAAATTACGAATGGAAAAGCTCACGGATAAAGGCAAACATACAGTAAAGGTGGGAAATTACCTGCACACAAATCAAAACCAGCAACTGTAAGAGGAGAGCACAAATGCAGGATATTGGAAATGCATTTGAAATTAAAAGACCAGCAAGTTAAAACAATCTTGTTTATATACAGATTGCTATATCAAAATCTCATGGGAATTGCAAACTGAAAATCTACAATAGATACACTCAGAAAAAAGAAAAACGAATCCAAACACAACACTAAAGTCAGTCATTAAATCACAAGAGAAGAGAAAAAAAGTTGAAGGGAAGGAAAAACACCTACAAAAACAAATCCAAAACAACAAAATGGCAATAAGAACAAACATAAACTTCACGGAACAGCATGGAGGTTTCTTAAAAAACTAAAAATAGAACTACTATATGATCCAGCAATCACACTCCTGGGCATATATCTGGAGAAAACCATAATCCAAAAGTACACATGCACCCCAGTGTTCATTGCAGCACTGTTTACAATGGTCAAGACATGGAAGCAACCAAAATGTCCACCAACAGAGCAATGGATAAAGATGTGGAACATATATATGATGGAATATTACTCAGCCATTAAAAAGAATGAAATAATGCCATTTGCAGCAACATGGATGGACTTGGAGATTACCATACTAAGTGAAGTGAGTCAGACAGAGAAAGACAAATATCCTATGATATCGCTTATATGAGGAATCTAAAAAAAAAAAAAAAAGATACAAATAAACCTATTTACAAAACAGAAACAGACTTAGAGAGCAAACTTATGGTTACCAGGGGGGAAGGGGGAGGGGGAGGAATAGATTGGGAGTTTGGGAATGACATGTACACACTGCTATATTTAAAATATATAACCAACAAGGACCTACTGTATAGCACAGGGAACTCTACTTAATACTCTATAATAACCTAAACGGGAAATGAATTTGAAAAAGAATAGATACATGTATATATATAACTGAATCACTTTGTTATACACCTGAAACTAACACAGCATTGTTAGTCAACTTTACACCAATATAAAATTAAAATCTTTTAAAATATGTTGGTATCAGTGGCATAGGGAAAGGGAATGGGATCAGGAAGGATTATACAAGTACTTCAATTGTAAGGTAATGCTTTATTATTCTAAAAACAAAACCCAAATTAATAAAAATTTAATATTTGATAAATTTGAGGGTGGGTACACAGGTATTCATTATATTGCTTTCTAGAACATTTTTATGTGTTTATAATTTTTCTTAAAACAACAAAAAACTCTAAAGAGATTCCAATAAGATACACTCAGAATTTCTCACATATGTTAAAATAAATTCCAACAAAGTAGAGGTTTATAAAAAATGTTTATCATTTCTATTAACTGAAATCCAATAAAGAAATTCTTAACTGCTCAATATGATAAAATGTTTGTGATAAGTTACAAAAATAGTTTCAACTTACAGAATTAATATATCAGAAATCTTAACATTAACTACATTTTTATAAAGCCTAATAACAATTATTTTGTGTGGAGAGATGAGAAGAAACTAAAACTAACAATATTTTTTTAAATAGAAGAGCACACACGATACCTTGGAGGCACGAATCTGCCTGTGAACATCCGTTAGTTGTTGGATTTTGTATTCTAGCTCTGAAATCTGGGCTTGAAGCCACGTCCAACGGCTGCCAACTCTTGCTCTGTCTACAAGCCACTTCCATTCAGTACTACAGTTACTGTGAACAAGACAAACACAGTTAGTCAAAGCACAAAGACAATCAAGTTTTCACAGAGATTGCTTAATAGCTTCCTTGACTCTTGTCATACAATCCCAAATTACTTTATAAAACATCTAATTATATGAAAGAAGAATGGTATATCAACTTCTCAAAGATTTGATTTCCTTATCTTTCTATCCCACAAACACCTGTTTTTATTCAATATTGTGTACCCAGTAGTAGGATAATCTCCTTGCTATTTAATACTTTATTAATGGTCAAGGGCTGAAACAGAAGTAGGCCAGCAAAGGAAAAGAAACAAGAATGACAATACTAACACCATGTAAAAACTGTTACATGAGCCTTTTATATGTAAGTAGATGTCAAGTATAAGACAAGTCATTTGAACTGTGCTAGATCTAAATCCATGTAACAAACCATAGAGTACTCAATTTTACTAAATGTAATTTTCATTTGCTAGAACAGGAATCAATTTTTTAATGTCAAAAATTATCAAAAATATGAATGCTCTGCTACATTTCAATAAACATATCAAATATATAAATCCTGAGATGTTTATTAAGATAAACAGCTTGTTAAAAACTTTATTCCTAGGATTCACAGCTCAGAGATGAGAAAGAATTTATATACAGGCTTTCTTTCATGCACATTTGAAAATAAGGGTTGAACCTTAATTAGCTCCTCTATCTTTTGGCAAGGGCACTGCTCTAATCCACAGTTTGTGAGATTACAAATTAATTACCTTAAGAAAATATTTCAACCACTCCAACTAGAAAACAATCAGAGTGAGGGGGGGAGGAGAGGGAGAGAGAGACAGACACACACACACACACACACACAGAGAGAGAGAGAGAGAGAGAGAGACAGAGAGAGAGTTTGTGTGTGTGTGGTGTTTGGGATAATTAATTAGGAGCTTCATACTGCCAAGGAAGAAACTGAAGAAGGCCTAACAGAAGAAATTGAAAGTACAACTGAAGGGAAGTAACTACTTAATGGCAAAACACAAACTTCATGAAAAACCTGTCTAAAAATTGCATTTATTGTCAAAACTCATAGAATGCACAACGCTGAAAGTGAACCCTACCTAATGTAAACTATGGACTTTGAGTGATAATGATGTGTCACTGTAGGTTTATAGATTGTTACAAATTCACTACCTTTGTGCAGTATGTTGATAGTGGGGGAAGTAATATCTGTGTAGGGACAGGGGACATATAGGAACTCTGTATTTTCCACTCAATTTTGTTGTAAACCTAAAACTGCTCTAAAAAATAAACTTTATTAATTTTTACACATTTAACCATAATGAAATATCTTTCATATAAACTTTAGCCAAAGAAAACATTTATGCTGAGATCATTTGTCGTCAGAGAAACAGAATTATTGTAACTCTACTACACAGAATTTATTCATTATAACAGATTTTATGTCAATGTTCTCAAAAGGCTTTTTTTTTTCAGATTCTAATTACCTACAATGTGACTGCAGAGACTGCCATATAAATTAGGACTTCTCTTGGTATTATTATTCAGTTTATAGTTATTATTGTGATTTTGTAAATGTGACACTATTTTAAATCACATTTTCATAACTATGGACAAAATTTAAAATGCCTATTCAAAATACACTATTCACAGTTATAACAATACTAACTGCCAATCATGAAATTAATGAAGAAGGCAAGGACCATATCATGCAGTAGTTGCACAGGTGAGGGCAAAGTGTTGGATTTTATGCAAAAAGGAAGTTATTGGCAAGATAGTAACAAAATTTTTTTTTTCCAAGCACTCTAGCTACTAGGTAAAGAAAGCATTGTAGTGGAACATAAGAGTAAATAAGGAAACCAATTAGGATGCAACTATAATAACCTAAATGTGGTACAGATAATTGTGATCTCTAAATATTTCATGTGCTATCCTACATTTCCCAGCCTTCACTGCACTTAAGTTGGAGCCATGTGACTAGCTCTGACCAATAGGCTGTGAGCAAAAGTGATAAAGTCATTTCTAGTCCATCTGACCAACTTCAAAGCCACTGTGCAGATATTATAGCTACAAGATGGAAGAGGATCACAGCTCAAACCACACTGGACTTTACGTAAGCCACAGTAAACCTTTGCTGTGCAAAATTACTGAGATTAGAAGGTTAATGTGTTACTCTAGAGCTTACTGTGACTAAAACAATGAATAAAAGATGAAAATGGCCTGGACTGGAAATGGGGTGGGAGATAAAGAAGAGATGAAGATAAGAGGATGGACTCAAGGTTGATTTTAAAGTAGATAGGACTTGAAGAAGTATGATGTGGAAGTAAGCATGCAGAAATCAAAGATGACCTTAAACATTGTTTCATTAAATTTTGCCCCAATCAGAAAATTTCCCTATAACATGCCACTTTGCTGGGTTGTCAAACTGATTATTAGCTCATGGAAATAGAGAAAAATAAAAGTTTATGGAGTTAATGTTATTGTACTTCTAGTACAAATACTGATACTGAAACTAAATTTACAAAAATCATTTTTATGTTCATATGTGACATTAAATTATCCTAACATAGAAAAAGTAGTAATATCAGATTTAATTTAAGTAAACTAAATAATACTGGGGCTTTGTAATAAGTGAAATGAATTTTCTGTAAAGGATACCTTATTCTACATTTTAACAGGAGTAAAATCTGTTTGCTATGCTTATAAATGGTAACCAATCTTTTCCATCAAAAATGTTCTCTTGCTTGAAAAAATGTCTTTCTAAAAACTAACTATGGTTGTAAACATGTTACAGATAAGTATATGGCTCATTCAAAGGAGATCGACACCTGTTGTACCTCAAACACAAAACGTTTTATGTAAACAATTTATATAACCAATGATGTAATGGCTTATATCTTAGAGTGTAACCAATCAGAACACAGCTGATGCAACAACAAACTAATAAGAATGTGAGGCAAACCCAGAATGTCTAGACTCCTCAGTTAGCATATAAGCCTGGCCTGCCAGGCCACTAAGATTTACTCCCTACATCTCTCTGCAGTGTGTTGAACTGATCAAAGACCAACACATGCCCTGATCTGCACTGGAAATAGGAGCCCCTACTTCTAGTGAAGATCAGGGCAAATACATCCATGAGTGGATACCACCTGGGCAGTGAGACTAGTCAGTCCTCAGAAAGGCAGCACATGCCTTCAATCCTCATCCTTACTTGTTTGCAGTCACAACTTAACTTACCGATGGAAATAAGTACAGGCTGTTTAAACCAAGTGGTTTTCAGTACAATTTCTCTTCGTACTAACTTCTGGTCAACATCATGAATCTACATCACTGTCTTGTTGTTGTTTTGTTTGTTTTGTTCTCTCTACATCACTGTTTTAACCTTGAAGTGTAGTTTGTTCCTCAGAATAAGATAGAACTTTCTAATATTACACCTTAAGTTACCAAAACTTAAAGAAAAACTTGTATAATTTTGCCTTTAATAGAGTTTGTTAGCTTAGTAATAAAAATGAATTAACTATGATTTAAAAAATAAGATCCAACTGTAAAAAATTATAATTCCAAGAAAAATAAGTTTTATCCTGGGGAAAATTACATTAAATTAGGCCAAACTTCTCCACTGGTGTTTGCTCACCTAGGAAGAGCTTAGTCTTCCCTGGAATTTGATTCCTTTAGACCAGGGGATAGCAAATTTTTCTGTAAGGAGGCAGACAGGAAATATTTGTTTTGTGGCCACAGCATCTCTTTAATAACTACTCAACTCTCCTGTTATAGCATGAGAGCAGTCATAAATGAATGGGTGTAATGATGTTTCAATAAAACTTTGTCTACAAAAACAGACAATAGGCCAGATTTGGTCCATGGGCCATAGTTTTCCAATTCCTGATGTGGAACATGTTTTCATATGCTTCCCAAGGGATTATGACTTCCTTTAATGAAGTGTCTTTTTAAATCTTTTGCTCATATTTAATTGGCTACCTTCCTGTTCATATAAGACTGTCAGACTGTATGTATTGGAAATACTTATAGCTCCCAATCTGTAGCTGGCCTTTCATTTTCCTAAAGGTGTCTTTTGAGCAGCAAAAGATTCTAATTTTGATGAAGCCCAATTTTTCAAACCTCCCTTTTATAGATAGTTCTTTTTATGTGCTAAGAAATATTTGCTTAACATGAATTCATAGATTTATTCATGTTTCTAAAATATCAAAAAGTTTTAGTGTTTTTACTTTTAGATCTATAATCCAATTCAAGTCAAGCTCTGTGTATTGGTCCAGGTAAGGGTCCAGATTCATTATTTTCTACAGGATATCTAGTTCCTGAACCATTTGTTGAAAAGATTCTATAATCCTTTAATAGAAAAAAAAAACCAAAACTATCCTTGAATAAATAAAAGACTATCTATATGAATACTACATGTTGTATATACACTTACATACACACAGAGAGCACTTAGGATATCTGTCTATCATCTATCTACCTACCTATGTCAACACCATGACCCAATACGACACTATTATTGTAGTTTAGAGTAATTCTGAAAATCCAGTAAATTCTTCAACTTTGTTATTTCTCAATATTGTTTTGACAATTCTAAATTTGAGAATCAGCTTGTCAATCTCTTAAAAAAAAAGAGCAGCATTTTGATAAGGATTTCATTGCATCCATGGATCTATTGGTTGAGAATTAATACAACACTGAACCTCCTAATCAATGTATAAGGTATTATTTCTCTGTGTATTTATGTACTGGTAATTTCTCTCAGCTATGTTTTATAGAGTTTAAAAAATTTATCTCTATGTATTTCATGTTTATGGAAGCTAGTATATAGCATTCATAAATTGTTTGGATGATAGTATATAAAAATACAGTTGATTTTTATGTGGTGACCTTATATACTTTGACCTTGTTAAATTCACTTAGGAGTTTTAGTATCTTCCTCATAGCAAAGTCCTTAGGATTTTCTATGTATATTATCATGTCAACTGCAAATAAAGCAGTTTGATTTATTTTTAA